TTCGAAACTACACCATGTGGTGCATATCAGCGCTGAAACATAGAGCTGAAGAAGGAACCACATTGTGTGATGGAGGACACCAACAGTGATATAAAGGACTGAGGAACAAGATAACAGTAATGACATAGAGGGCTGCAGAAATAATTACATTGTATAGTGGACACCAACACTGACATAATGGATTGAAAAAGGAACCACACTGCATGGTGGTGGACACCAACAGTAACAAAAAGGTCTGAGGAAAGAGATACCAGTAATGACATGCTGCAGAAAGGTACTTTCTGCTGTAGAAAGGAACTTCCCCGCATGGTGGACACCAGCATTGACACAATGGCCTGAAGAAGAAGCCACATTGTGTGGTGGAGGAAACCAGCAGTGACATAAAGGTCTGCGGAAAGAACCCCATCATGCTGTGGGGGGGACACTAGCAATGACATAGAGGGCTGAGGAAGGAAGCACACTGTGTGGTAGTGGACACCAGCAATGACATAGAGGGCTGAAGAAAGAATAACATTGTGTGGTGGAGAACACCATCAATAACATAGAGGTCTGAGGAAAGAACAGCATCCCATGCTGGACACTAGCAATGACATAGAGGACTGAAGAAATAATAACTTTGTGTGGTGGAGAACACCATCAATTACATAGAGGGTTGAGGAAAGAACAACATTCCATGGAGGACACCATCAATGACATAGAGGGCTGAGGAAAGAACAACATTCCATGGAGGACACCATTAATGACATAGAGGGCTGAGGAAAGAACAACATCCCATGGTGGACACCAGCAATGACATAGAGGGCTAAAGAAGGAATCCCATTGTGTGGAGGGGGATATCAGCAATGACACTGAGGGCTGAGGAAGGAACCACAGTACGTGGTGGACAACAGCATTGATCAGAGCAGGGGTCTCCAAACATTCTAAACAAAGGGCCAGTTTACTGTCCTTCAGACTTTAGGGGGGCCAGACTGTGGCCATTGGAAGTAGAAAAGGTCCCGATGTTAGCAGGAATAAATGTTCGGTGTCAGTGGGAGGAATGCAGCCCTGTTGTTGGTGTCATTGGGAGGAATTGTGCCCCATAATTGGTGTCATTGCCCCCCTCCCCCCGAATGCTGATGTCACCTTGAGGAAGTGTGCCCCATAATTGGCATCATTGGGAAAAATTGTGACCCTTCATTGGTGTCATGTCAATTATGCCCCATTGTTGGTATCAGTGGATGAAATAGTGCCCAAGGGCTGGATAAAAGCAAGCAAAGGGATGCATCCAGTTTGGAGACCAATGATATAGAGAACCAAGGAAGAAACCACATTTTGTGGTGGGTACACTGGCAATGAGGGCTGATAAAAGAACCACCTCACATGGTGGAAGACACAGCCATCTGACACTATTGTTGAATGACAGAGAACATGATGGAGACTACATTGCTAGAATGAAGAAGCGATAGAAGACATGATCCACTATCTCTTCTAATGTAGGGCAGTGTTGGTTTGATTTGTTTAGAGACCTCTCTCTAAGTAAATCAGACTCACTGTCTACCAGCTTCTGAATGTACCCAACACAAACGCAGCCAACTGTGGGGCTCTATTTTAGGAAACCGTAATGCAGGCGGAAAGCTTACACACCAGTAACTTCCCTGTCCATTTCAATGGACCCCAGATGTGAATCAATATATCTGGAGCATTATCTTACATCATCGCGGCCTTGTTTTGCATACGCAAACTCGTGTTAATCTCTCTCATCCTTCGATTGGAAAGGTGATAGATTTTTTTTTTTCACCTTGGATATTGCTAAAGCCCGTATTGAAACGAAAGCGCTGCAGACTTCACATGAAATAAAGCCAATCAGCGGAATAATGAAGAACTTAATATCTCCCCAGAGGATATGATTGGGTTTTCATCAAACCAGCCAAGCTTTTCCAGTCATTTACACCAGCTCCATTCCAGGAGGGTGTTACAGCCTATCACAAGTCTTTTTCAGCTTTCTATTTTTTTTTCTTTTCTTTTTTTTTTTTTAAATCCCCAGTGAGCGTCACTGATTGATAAAGGAATAATTGGAAGGCAGCTAGTGATGCGCACTCTGCCATCATGGAGGATCATCCTGTCGCGGCGGACACATGGGTGTAACGCTAAAGTCCCACTTCCTCCTGATCAGGGAGAGTTAATAAGCTATTTAAACCCTTCAATGCCCTGTGGACATATGTGAGTCGTCAAGGGGGAGCTCTGCTGGGGGCTGTGAAATCAAGAGAGAGGGGGGGGGGGGGCAGTCATTACGCATGAGGATCCCTTGTGTGGTTAACAAGGTGGAAAAACAAAAGGAAGGAGAGCTCCAGGTCTTTGTGTTAAAACAGGCCAAGTCGGTCCCATATCTCAGGAGAGAAACAGAAGACACATTGTACAACTATGATAGATAGATAGATAGATAGATAGATAGATAGATAGATAGATAGATAGATAGATAGATAGATTATATATTATAGATAGATAGATACATAGATAGATAGATAGATAGATAGATAGAAAGATATAGATAGATAGATAGATAGATAGATAGATAGATAGATGGATAGACGGACGGACAGATAGATAGATACTGTAGATAGATGGAGAGATACTGTAGAAGAAAGAAAAAAAGAAAGAAAAGAAAGAAAGAAAGAAAGAAAGAAAAGAAAGAAAGAAAGAAAGAAAGAAAGAAAGAAAGAAAGAGAGAGACAGGAGGGTGAGAGGTGTGTGTGGGGAGAGGGGGGAATAGATAAAAGGGAAGGAGGAAGGGAGGATGGGAGGAAGCAGATAGGTAAGAGGGAAGGAAGGATCAAGGAAGTGAAAGATGGAGGATGAAAGAATTGGAGGGAGGAAGAAGAGAAGGAAAAAAATTAAGAAAAAGGAAGGAAGGTAGGAAGAAAAAGAGGGAAGGAAAGGAAGGGATGGAGGGAGGGGGGAGGGAAAGGAAGGAGGAAGGAAGGTAAAAAGGTAGGGCGGTAGGCAGAAAGGAGGAAGGAAGGGAAGGAAGCAAGGATGATGGGGGGTGAAAAAGATTTCATTGGGAAGGAAAGGGAAGTAGGAACCAGAAGGATGAAGTGGATGATCCAGGAATAAAAAAAAAAGGAGGGAGAGAGGAGGGCTGGAGGATGGCGGAATGAAGCAAAAAGAAACAAGGAAAGGAAAGGAAGGGAAGGGAAAGGAAAGGAAAAAGGAAAGGAAAGGAAAAAGGAAAGGAAAGGAAGGGAAGGGAAAGGAAAGGAAGGGAAAGGAAAGGAAAGGGAAGGGAAAGGAAAGGAAGGAAAGAAAGTAGCAGATAATGGAGAAGGAAGGAAGGAAGGAAGGATGGAAGGATGGAAGGAAAGAAGGAAGGAAGGAAGGAAGGAAGGAAGGAGAGACTGGAGTAGATGACAGTCTGTTGAGGGAAAAATGTATAGAAAGATACTCTGCAGATTGTGTAAGCTGATCTCTCTGCTAGTCTGGTCTGTCGTAAAGCATCAGCTCCCAGGAGGCAAGTAGGGAGATCTCATACCATTCGAGGATCCAAGACACCTAAGAAACCAGTGGCTGACTCCGACCACCAGGCTCCACCCATAATGGAAATATAACGTTTGGGCGGATTGGTCCTTTAACCCACTGATAGGTGTAAGGAAGGACTACTGAAAGGTAGTCATTTAGAATGACACCCCCCCACCCAAAAAAAAAGATCTCTCCGAATAAATGAAAGTTAATTTCTTCTTCCTTGAAATCCTTTTGCTAATGCATCACAGAAAAAATAAATTCCAGGCCTGATCTTCTCACGGTGAATAATTCACCCATAAACCCTCCTTGATGGGTGAACCTGGCAGAGGACCCTGCTTACTGCATGCTGGCAAGGCACTTTTAAAAGGTCAAATGCCATCGAAACCCAGCTCCTCGGTGAGAAATGTTTTCTTATCTGTAGCCACATGCAAATGCCTGGTGACTGATTGGCTCCCAGAGCTGCCATCACATGAGACTAAATCAGACGTTTATCTTAAGAGCGTAAATTTGACATCGTTTGAAAAAACATGCAGAAAAATGCAGGCTGAATTTGGTGCCATCAAACACGTGACAACCTTGTGTGCTCGGCTTATGAGTTCTTGGAAGCTCCTCGCTTGGATATAGAAACAGTTTTTGGATAGGAGACATTGATGGGAATTAATGGCCAAAACTTTTTTTGTTGTTTTGAACAGAGTAAGGAAGGGTCAGAATCCTCATCAAGATTTCATTGCTATCTGTGCCTCCACTGAGTAAATTCACCCTCATTATTTGTTCCGAGCGATGACCATTGTCACTGAGAAAGTCAATGAGATCCAAAAAAAATGTCACCAGAGTGAGAAGTGATGGTAAATATCCCGATGGGGACAACTGTTTCGGGGATAACGGTCTAAGAGGAGGTTTTGTAAAAGATTTCCCATTACTTCCCGTTGCGCCTCTGGGACAGGAAGTGAAGAGACATTTCCCCAATGGGACACGTACAACAAAAATAAACTGATTGGTTATTATTTTATTTGTTTTTTATTTGTTTTATTTTAACCAAAATAAAAGAAAATGTAACACTTTAAATATATTGCTGTACATTTATTTACATACCTCCCAATAAATGGGTAAGAGGGATCCTTGGTAGCAGAGACCATTTAGACAATAGACACCAAACGCTGGACCAGGAGCGGGCTGACAACTCATGGGGCCCCTGGGCAATAGGGGATCATGGGGCCCCTGTGTCCTTGCCCAAACTCAAAAAAGCCTATGAAAAAGGTACTAGGGGCATCTCATGGGGCCCCCTACTGACCCCGGGGCCCTCGGGCAGCGCCCGAGTTTCCAAATGGTCAGTCTGCCCCTGGTAAGAGGGATCCTTGGTAGCAGAGACTATTTAGACAATAGACATCAAACGCTGGCCCAGAAGCGGACTGACAACTCATGGGGCCCCCAGGCAATAGGGGATCATGAGGCCCTGTGTCTTCGCCCACACTCAAACCACACCCAAAAAAGTCTATGAAAAGGTACCAGGGGCATCTCATGGGGCCCCCTACTGACCCCAGGCCCACGGGCAGTGCCAGAGTTCCCAAATGGTCAGTCCACCCCGGCGCTGGACCATAACACATTAACCTCCCTAGCGGTCTGATTATGTCAGTATTTCTGTGCTCAAAGTGGTACATTTTTTTGCATGGAAATATGTATTTTTTTAATTGTAGGCCTGTAATTCTTAGGAATAACTCACTGAAATCTGTCCGAACAAGAGTCTAGTAAACATCCCGGGTATGATAAAATTTGAAACATGAAATCATAAATAAAAAAAAAATAAATATAATATAATAATAAATTTAATTCAATAATATAATCAAACCAAAAACACTGAAATGTGAAATATAGCGCCAAGTTCGCACATCGCTGAGCAAAGTCGCAGAATCGTTTTCAGTGTCTGATGAGGAATTTCCCCCATGAATCATTATCACTCAATTCTGCAAGTGGTTCTGATTTACTATCGCTGTTCTCTAGCCGGTCTAAAACCGCGTCTGACCTAAAGGGATGCTTTTTGGACGCCATGGACGTTTCTCAGTTTCCAGGCAGAAAGAACAGTAAAAATGCAGGCAGGGCGCCGGACAAAGCACTCGGGACAAAATGTATGTGAAATGGTTTGATACAGGAATGTTATACTATGTGATTTTAGTGTATTTAGTGAATGTCACTTTTACACATTTTTAAATTTCCCGCCGGTTCCGGCCCCCGTACGTCCCGACGTCGCAGGGAACGGAACCCGGAAGACCGATGCCGGCATCGGCCGGAGGACATTACAGGGGACACTGCAGGGGGGACATCGTGGGAGCGCAGGACAAGGTAAGTGCAGAAGAGATCCCGGAGCAATGCTGCAGTGTATTCCCGAGTGTAGCTCGGGGGGGTTACCGCTTGTGGTGCTGAAACTTTACCCCGAGCTACACTCGGGAATACCGCCAGGGGGGTGAAGTGCATTAAATATAACTAAATGCTTTTTTTTTTAGCTTTTAGGATAGAGTGGGATTGGTCAGTTTTTATTGCTGTCTGTGTCCCCATTAGGGAGATTTCCCCTCCTTATTTGTCCTGTTTAATTATCACTAGGGGCTCATGTACACGGGATGTTTGGAAAACTCTTCTGAACGATTGAAACTGTCTGCTGGAAAACGTAGATTAAAAAACGTCTGTTTAGCTGCGTTTGCATACCACCTTTATGCACGTTTGCGTTTAGAAGCGTTTTTTTAAGATAACCTCAGGAGACCTTCCCAAATGCCCAGAATGCACTGAAAAACAGTAAATAATTAACTATTTCAGACATTTTGAGAGGAATAGAGAGAGCAGAAGCAGAGAGAGCAGTATGTGTGGAGATGACCTGTCTTTTCTGGTTGTAGTCACTATGGATCCTATCATGAGCATAATGCGGCGCGTTCTACCATTTTTTCCTTCACACAAAACCTGGAACTGACTGCGCTGGTGTACCGGGTCCATCTGAATACATAGAAAACACTTTGCATGCATTTCTGATGATGAAAAAAGGCTCCGGACAGCATATGGACATGGAACAGTTAAAAAACACTTCTAAACGCAAACGCTTATAAGCACAGTTAGCCGCGTTTACAAGCGTTTGGTCTTTGAAACGGTGATAAAATCTACTCCTGAACGCAAGTTTGGTGCGTTCCAAAAAACGACTGTAAACTCAACTGCCTGTAAACGACTGTAAAAGTAGAATAAAAAGTGAGCGCTCCCAGAGTAGCAGCTAAAGCACTAAAGGTAACCAATACAAAAACCTCATTAAAACTTGAAATATATGAACAAGTGCAGCGCTAATAATAATAAATATATATATATATATATTATTATTATTATTATTATATTACACAGGATTTATATAGCGCCAACAGTTTGCTCAGCGCTGTACATTACAATGGGAGACAATACATAAGACAGTACAGTAACAACACAATTACAATGGCCTGGAATGCCATCCTACTTGGAGACTTCCAGGGATTCTACAAAGAACGGAATAATCTCTGGGAGTGTGCAGTGTGCAGTGTGCAGTGTGGGGTGTGCAGTGTGCAGTGTGCAGTGTGGAGTACATTCACAAGCTGCATACTTTGAAGGAGACAATGTTCAATTGTAAACTTTTTCAATAAAAGAATTTAAAAATAAAATTCTCATTACTTTCTGGACACAGTGTGTGAGTGTGCATGTATGTTTATGAGTTTATGCATGCGTGTATATGGAGTGTGTATGTTTGTTTGTGAATTTATGCATGTATGTATGTGAGTGTGTATGTATGTGTGTGAGTTTATGTATGTGTGTACAGTATGTATGTATGTGAGTGTGTATGTATGTGTGTACAGTATGTATGTATGTGAGTGTGTATGTATGTGTGTACAGTATGTATGTATGTGAGTGTGTATGTATTGTACGTGTTTGAGTTTATGTATTTATGTATGTGTGTGTGAGTTTATGTACAGTATGTATGTATGTGAGTGTGTATATATGTGTTTGAGTTTATGTATGTATGTGAGTGTGTATGTATTGTATGTGTTTGAGTTTATGTATGTATTTATGTGTGTGAGTGTGTATGTATTGTATGTGTTTGAGTTTATGTACTGTATGTATGTGTGTATATATGTGTTTGAATTTATGTATATATGGGAGTATGTATGTATGTATGTGTGTGAGTTTACGTATGTATGTGAGCAGGGGCGGACTGACAACTCATGGGGCCCCCGGGCCTACACTCAAACTACACCCAAAAAAGCCTATGAAAGGTACCAGGGGCATCTCATGGGGCCCCCTACTGACTCCAGGCCCTCGGGCAGTGCCCGAGTTCCCAAATGGTCAGTCCGCCTGTAACGGACTGCCTGACAGCACCTCTATCAGTCTCCCGGTAGAGCCTCCCCAGAGTGCGGAGTCTAAGCACCGGAGCACTTGTTCACCAGGGCTCCTGATGGTGGGGATGACTTGGAGCGCTCCGGTACCAGGTCGCAACTACCAGGTATCTCCAACAGGGGTAGAGGAGTCTGACAGGGGCTCCAAAGAGCTAGGAGTCTGATGTAAGGGAGCCTAGTGATCCCTGCGGGGTGGGTGGATGGATGAGCTAAATCAGAGTCATGCAGGCCGGTTCGGTAACTAGCGGATCGGTAAGGTACAAAACGGTAGGCAAAGGATAGTCGGGTCACACGCAGGGTCAATACCAGGAGGTCAGATCTAAACAGGAACATCCAGGAGCAGAGTCAGGCAAGCCAAGGGGTCAGGACGGGAGAAGGCAACAAGGTCAAAACAATCCAGATCAGAAGTACTCACACACAGGTAACAGGATACAAAGACCATTCGGCAACAAGTGTCTGTGCAGGGCTAGTTTAAATAGCCCGCCCTGCACCTGACAGGCGTAGCCTGGGTCCCAGTGCCTGCCTAGTACTGTCCAGACGACGGGTGCGCCTGGGTCCTAGTGCCCTGCCACCTATACGTCTCTGCAGACACCTACGCATGTGTAGACCCATGCGTCGCGATGGTTCCTGACACCGCCCCTGTATGTGAGTGTGTATGTATTGTACGTGTTTGAGTGTATGTATGTATGTACAGTGGGGATCGAAAGTTTGGGCACCCCAGCTAAAAATTTGTATTAATGTGCATAAAGAAGCCAAGGAAAGATGGAAAAATCTCCAAAAGGCATCAAATTACAGATTAGACATTCTTATAATACGTAAACAAAAGTTAGATTTTATTTCCATCATTTACACTTTCAAAGTAACAGAAAACAAAAAAATGGTGTCTGCAAAAGTTTGGGCACCCTGCAGAGTTAATATCTTGTACTGCCCCCTTTGACAAGTATCACAGCTTGTAAACGCTTTTTGTAGCCAGCCAAGAGTCTTTCAATTCTTGTTTGAGGTATCTTTGCCCATTCTTCCTTACAAAAGTCTTCCAGTTCTTTGAGATTTCTGGGCTGTCTGTCACGCACTGCTCTTTTAAGGTCTATCCATAGATTTTCAATGATGTTGAGGTCAGGAGATTGTGAAGGCCATGGCAAAACCTTCAGTTTACGCCTCTTGATGTAATCCCCCCGTGGATTTCGAGGTGTGTTTAGGATCATTATCCATTTGTAGAAGCCATCCTCTCTTTAACTTCAGCTTTTTCACAGATGGCATCAAGTTACAATCCAAAATTTTCTGAAATTTTATTGAATCCATTTTTCCTTCTACTCGTGAGATGTTCCCTGTGCCACTGGCTGCAACACAACCCCAAAGCATGATTGATCCAACCCCATGCTTAACAGTTGGACAAAGGTTCTTTTCATTAAATTCTGTGCCCCTTCTTCTCCAAACGTACCTTTGCTCATTCCGGCCAAAAAGTTCAATTTTAACCTCATCGGTCCACAAAACTTGTTTCCAAAATGCATCAGGCTTGTCTATATGTTCATTTGCAAAGTTCAAATGATGATTTTTGTGGTGAGGACGTAGAAGAGGTTTTCTTCTGATGACTCTTCCATGAAGACCATATTTGTACAAGTATCTCTTTATAGTGGAATAGTGTACCACAACTCCAGTGTCTGCCAGATCTTTCTGGAGGGATCGTGCAGTCAAACGTGGGTTTTGAATTGTTTTTCTCACAATCCTGCGAGCTGTTCTGTCTGATATTTTTCTTGGTCTTCCAGATCTTGCTTTAACTTCCACTGTTCCTGATGACTGCCATTTCTTAATTACATTCCGAAGAGAGGATATTGACATCTGAAAACGCTTTGCTATCTTCTTATAGCCTTCTCCAGCTTTGTGAGCGTCAACTATTTTCAGTTTCAGTTTTCTAGACAACTGCTTAGAAGAACCCATGGTGCTGATTGTTGGGGCAAGGTCAGATGAGTCTGGGCATTTAAAACCTTTGAGATTGACATCACCTGGTCTTCCCAGACGATGATTGAGAACAGTCCATGACACTGGCAGGTCTCAGCTTGGCAAAGGGGGCAGTGCATGCTATAAATTCTGCAGGGTGCCCAAACTTTTGCAGACGCCATTTTGTTGTTTTCTGTTATTTTGAAAGTGTAAATGATGGAAATAAAATCTAACTTTTGTAGACATATTATAAGAAAGTCTAATCTGTAATTTGATGCCTTTTGGAGATTTTTCCATCTTTCCTTGGCTTCTTTATGCACATTAATACAAATTTTTATCTGGGGTGCCCAAACTTTCGATCCCCACTGTATGTATGTGAGTTTATGTACAGTATG